TGATACTGAGTGTTGCGTGTGGGACATCCAGGGTGATCCAGAGTGCGAACAGTGAGTTGTGTGGGCGCTCAGTCGCCATAGCCAGTTTGAAGAGAACTCTTATGTGGATACGATATCTTGAGTACTGAGTGGGCGCTTGTCGCCAATTTGCTGTTTCGCTGTTTGCATACATGACAAGTTGAATAATCGTAGTGTGATTTCATAACTGTCCGATATCACAAATTTGGAGCCTAGGTACTTTGCTCCCCTTCCTTGTGGTTGACGCACCTGAGCTGAGGGTCTGCAGGAGACTACTATGGGAGCGCGGAAACCAATCCGGAAGCGAAGATTGTTTTTCCCGCAATCTTTTCATGTTTGCCTTTGGGTTCTCTTTAGGCACGAAGTGCAACCGTCTACACTCTATAAGCAACTTGTCAGAAATTGATCTTAGGTTTCTGGCATTATATTATAGTGCAGTCTTCACTTGAATGAGCCTCTGAGAACATTTACCTACAGACAAGCTATCGGTACCTTTATTACGCGACCAGGCACTCATGATCCCCTGCCACAAGTCTTTCCCCCCTCCCCCCCCTCCCCTTTTGAATGGAACTTTGTTTGGGAAGTTTCAAAAGTTGAAGTCAACATTATGTGCTAAGCTACCTGAACAGTGAACACTGCTGTGCAAGTTCGAAAAGACATTTTAAAATTTTAATACGCTCGTCGCTCTTGAAAAATCTGAAAGCAGATCCCTCAGAGCCATTAAGGTCCTGTCTTTGGGGACATGGTGCTATGTTTGTCTTTCAGATTCACCAGCAGGGCTGCAGAGGGCTGAAAACTGTGTCCAAAGTTTTCCAAACTTTCCATTAAGAAAAAGAGAAATCAATTAGAAATCAGTTCAAATCACAAAATCATTTTGGAATTATGTTATCTAACTTTTCTTTAACTTTTCTAAGATTTCTCGTCTTCCTTTTTCTTTTTTTTTTTCTTTTCTTTTTTTTTTTAACTCGCCTTCCTTTCCGTCTGTGTTGCATGTTTCTGACAGTGTCACTATCCCGCATAAGGAGGCGGCTATGAGCTGCTGCTCCCATGAAGTCGATCCCAGTGTTCAGGTAATTCCTAACTCCTAGTCTGGCTTTGTCTATGCCTCCCTTCCTTTATTTCACTTTCATGATTTTCATCTAGTTTTCCTTATTGCTACGGTGTGATGTTGTCTCAGAGTTGTCCCAATTGGGGCATTCTGCGAGTTTTCACCATCTCCTCTGTCTCCTCTGTCCATCCTTATCACCCTTGTATCCTCGTATTGCTCGCTTTCTCCTGACTTATGAAATGCCAACTCCCACCCATGATTTGCACTCTTCCTCTCTCTAGGTCTCACACATTCCCCTGCCCGCTCTCTCCTTTCCTGTCTTCCAAAGCATTTACTGCAATCGTGTTGTCCTCTTCCTCTCTCTCTCTCTCTCCTGCTTACTCTGCTCCATCTTTCACGGTTTCCCTAATTCTCACCCTTTGAATCGCTATCCTGACGGCTGAAGGATGTGATGTCTCTTGCACCTCTGTTACACTTTTCTTGAACCAGGTTTCTTTCCCACCTCTGTGGCGCTTTTCGTAAACCTCCCTTGCTTTCTGCTGAACCTGCTATGGCTCGTTTCCGCCGCTGACTGAAGTGGTGTGAGTTCAGAGCGTCCCAGATTTAGGTACGGTTTGTGGCTGGAAAGGAGTGCTTTTTTTTTTTTGTTCTCTTTTTCTTTTTTTTCAAGAGTTTTCCTGAAGTTCACCGTTATCCTTTCTGTTTAACTTTCTGAGCACGGCAGGCGTCTGCAACAGCCAGCAGTTTTCAGGCGTTTCGGGTGATATCGGCGCAGGCCAATGAAACCCACCCTTATTTCGCCGAATAAGTGTGGAGTCGTAATAGCTTTATGGGGTGTTTTTTCCTGGCCAGATACGACTATAATGACCTGCATCGGATTTAGTCGGATAAAGCAGTATCCAAGCTGGTAGGAGGCAAGAACCCCACATATTTTCCAGCCTGATAGATGTCTGGGCGGAGAACGTAAAGTCCCACCCTACCCCATCCCCACCCATCCCTGTCGCAAAGTTCACTTGCTCTTCCTCCTCCCCCTCCCATCCCCCCCACAACCCTTCCCAATCCTCCCAAACCTCAAACCTGGCCCTTCTCCCTCCCATACCCTCCTCGCCTCTAGTGGGGTCTGTACACCAGTGGTTTCCCTTTGGGACGCCTCAGCCTCCATGCATCTCCCGATTCTCCTTTTTCCGTAAGTTGAGGCAGTTAAAAAGGCCTTTTACGATTCAGGCCCGTAAATGTGACCCCAACATAAAAGGGCCCTCTCGGCCAGAAATCAATTTCACAAGCAGCATTCCAAAAGACAAGTTCCCTGAGGCAAATGTCGCATCCAGTGTGAGATGAAAAGTCATTTTGAATAGTCACAGTCAGGTCCTAGACGAACAGGTACCAGACACAGACTTCAAGACTGAGATAGGGTCATGACTGTTCGGCGATAAGTCATGTCTGTTCGGCAATAAGTCAAATGCCACAGTCCCAGTCCAGTCATAGCTTCACGGGTCGATCCTGATTCAGACCAGGAGTCCAAAAGACAGGCCCGAAGGCCCAAAGCAGCAGCAGACCATGGGAAAAGATACTGGGACACACACTTTGCAACAACAGGTACTGGACAGAAGTCCCAAACACTCGGGGACCGAATTCAGACCTCGCCAGTCCAGCCCAGCGCTATAAAGGACTGGCCAGCCTCCTCATTGGGCAGAGGCTCATTTCGCATGAGAGTGTGGAAGTGCCGTGGCACTTGTGCGCCAGATGTGTGTGAGCTGCGCAAAGCTGTGAGCAGCGCTAAGTAAGAGAGAAGTGGGGCGTTGGCTGGAAGAAAGGCAGCCATAGCTGCGCCAGCGCCTGTTAGTACATTAGTAGGGGTAGTTAGTAGGATAGACCAGTGAGAAGTATTCAGAGTGGATCCTCGTGTGATAGGGAGTGTGCATGCATGGTGAG